ATTTGATTATGTTTATCCGCAATTAGTTACACAAATTTAAATATAGAGCTTTAATAAGTTGTATTTATGCACAATTTACTTGTAATAATGAATCTTAAGTAATATGCATCAATAAACAATACTTTATGCATAAAAAATAGTTTTTAAAAATTTTTATCAAATGTTTTATAATATAATATAAATTAATTGCACGAACATAATATTAATTTTGATTTATAGATTTATTTTATTAATGGACTTCTTTTTTGCATTTGATTATTAGAGAATTTTAAATCAAAAATAATATTTTTTTTATACAAATAAAATACAATAAATCTTTACTATGTTATAAATTATTAAATTATGTTCTTAAAAAAACATTGAAATTTAAGTTTATAACTTAAAACTGTATACATATGATTTTTTAGAGTTTTACGGTTGAATTCAATAATTTTGATTAATAAACACATTCATATACATCATAAACGATCAATCTTGACATAAATTAAATAAGCACTCAAAAATTACATGTTCGGTCATCATTAATCAACTCCTTAAGTTGAGTGTTATTAATACAGTATAATGCCTCATAAATTTGATAACTAATCAAAACAGAAGGCAAAATGTTGAAAAATACAGTAATTGTTGTTAATGTTTTCTTTTGATTTATTGATGATTTTCTTTCATATATGCATTGCATCCAAACAAAATCGAGAAAAACGGATCGTAATTGAAGATCGAGGGTTTTCGGCATAATCAAAATGCATAGTACGGGTACAAAAAATTCAAAAAGAATTATTGTACAAGTATATGAAACTTGTGTACAATTATGTCTCACACTATCCATTCCCCTCACTGTACCATCCATCTTCATCGACACCAGGTTGCTACCCAATCGACACTTGCTTGTAACGAGCTCTAATTGGCCCAAGCCCGGGTTCAATTTTTCTATAAAATCTCATAGACAACATCATTATCGGCTTTTTTTGTTCAAGAATCATGCAATACCAAGAATAACTCCCTAATTTATATATTAAAGTCAGTGTTTTATAAATAAATAAATAAAACCCTAACAACGACATTTTGTTCAAAATCGAGGGTCGGACAACCATTGTTGACTTGCAACACCATCTAGTTTCCTCAAGCATAAAAATAGAGGTAGACATTTATTCGGATCAATAAAGGCATAGAAAAAGGGAACTGGGAGAAGTGCGGTATTTCTAAATGGTTGTACACAAACCTTATATACTTGTATTTTAATTTTTTTAACAAAAAAAAATACACGTTGCTGGTGTGCTTCCTGCTTGCGAGGAAAGAAAGGGCTGTGAGGGCTCTCAGCCACATGAATAGTAATCTGACAAAAATACCCCTCGACTCATGGCACTACAACTAACTGTGTTAGGGCTAGAAACTAGGGGTAGCAAAAAATGACCCAATCCGCTAACCCAACCCGAATCCAACCCAAAATTAGCTGGTTGGGTTGAGATTTTCAACCCATTTTAAAAAATGGGTCAACCTGCCTAACCCATTTAAATAAATGGGTTGGGTTGGGTTGAATTTTTCAACCGGTTTTCAACCCATTTGAAATATTATATAATTTTATTTTATTCTTAATATTTTTACTTTTGTTTTATTCTTGATTAAAAATCTTACCGTCGTGAGATGAAACTTCAAATTTCAATCGCCTCCATTACTCTTAATAATCATGAACCCTAAGAAAACCCTTTAGTCCATTACTCTATTATCGCCTCCAAAGTCTAATCCAACTTATTTTAAACAATATATTTGTTGTGGTTGTGTTTTATTCAAACTTTGAACAATTTGTTTGTATTTGTGGTTGTGTTTTATTCAAAAAAAATTAAATAGTCTAGTCCTTTTTTTATTTAAAATTTTAAAATTAAATGGGTCAACCCAGGTCAACTCATTTATTTAACAGGGTGGGTTAAGAAAATCGTAAACAGGTCAATCCATTTAGTTAACATGTTGGGTTGGGTTGAAAAATCTCAACTCATTTAATTAAATGAGTTGGGTTAAGATTTTCAATCTGTTTAATAAATAGGTTGAACCCGAATTCAACCCAATCTGACCCATTGCTACCTCTACCGAAAATTATTTTCAAAGCAAATACATGCTAACGGTGACTATTTTGCAAAGGAGATACCACTTTCATAATTTTATACAAATCAAAAGGACCCAAATTGTAGTTTATTTTTAATATAATTATTTTAGATCAAAAAAGCCAAATAAATTGGATGAAAAAAGTCGCACATAATTTGTATAAGACTCGAAAATCTGTTGTAGCTTTAATGCAACAAAGCCTGCAGAACCAAGAGGGGCATATACCATTGAACATGGCTTAAATAGAGATCATCGCCATCCCGCCATTAACTATTCCTATTCCTCCATTGATCCTTTCTTTTGCCATTAATTTATTCATATCCGTTGATTTTATCTCAACCCATCTGTTATCACCCCCTTCGAAAACAAAATCGACACTCATTACAGAGAAAAAAAAAAACAAAAAATCGATACAATTTTGTAAGATTTCGAGGGAAATCATTGAAACCCAGAGAGAAAAGTAGGGGGGGAATTAATGATCTTCATGAGGTGGGTATTCGTTCAACAATGGGAAATGTAACCTCAAACGTAGCTGCGAAATTTGCATTTTTCCCACCTGACCCACCATCGTATGATGTTTTCAAAGATGAAGATGATCCTAGAAATGGGGGAACAAGGTTCGTTTTTACAGGAATTACAGCAGATAAAAACGTTGATGTTCATTTGCTTGATACAAAGGGCGGGAATAAGGTTGTTGCTACTTTCTGGAAACACCCTTTTGGGAAGTTGACCCTGTTATACTCTCATGGAAACGCCGCTGATTTGGGTCAAATGAAAGACCTCTTTATTGAGCTTAGAGCTCATCTCCGAGTCAATATTATGAGGTATTTCTGAACCTTTCCTTTTTCTTCAATCTTCATGTGATTATTACTCAATTGGGTGTTTGTTTTTTGGGGATTATAATCAATTGGGTGTTTCAAAATTTGGGGGTTTTTAGTTGGATAATGTTTGTTCTTGAGACTCTTGATTTTGTTGTGTTTGATAGATGGTTTTGCATTAGGGATTTGGATAATCAGAAGAGAATATATCAAGATTCATGGGGTTAATGCCAGTTATGATTGATCATATAGAATTCAAGGGTGTTTGCATATGTTTCCACTACCATAGTAATCACAAAAATTAGTTGTGAATCACATGAATTCATTACCTAACGGATTGTTGAATCCCTTCTAAATTTGTCTTTTGATTACTTTTAGAAGTCTTTGTGGTGGCTAGCTAGCCAGAATTAGTGTTGTGGAAGATGTAGGTGAAGATCCCAATTAGGAAGATGAAGGTTTTGAATGAGGGTAATTGGGTCATTTTGCAAATCCATTTGTTCAATTGTTTTACATATTAAGCCACACCTACATATCACATAGGGTCCATGTTTAACATGTTCATACTACTCCTAAGCTTAATGCTCGATAACCGTAAGAAATAAGCTCAAGGAGTACTGAAAGAGGTGTCCATATTTCTATTTTAGTTTGGCTCAAAATAAACAAGTAAGCGTCTACTTCTCAGTTCTGCTCTTAATTATGAGATGGAGAAATTCATTACTCCTTGTATCGTTGAGTGTAAAATTGCCATTTAGTTAATTCAAAGAGTAATATAGTTGACCCAGCCCCTTTTTGTTTGAATCTGAAGCAAGTTTTCAAGAAACTGCTCGAGTTTTAGCAAAAGCAGCTGCTCTTTGAATAAGATCTCAATTCGTGCGGGTCGGAACTTACCCGACAAGGAATTTCGAATTACACGTTCCTAAAGCTGAGCCTTTTTCATTGAGGACGCTTATTTAGGGATGGATAGAGTAGTAGTCACTAGTCAGCAATACGAGTTCTTGAAATCTTGTAGAAAGTTTCGACAACTATGGTAACATGGTGCCAATTTTGTTATGACTTCCATAACCTTTTGAGTTTGAATAATTTTGACCTAAAAAAGTCAAAGTCACTCGGCTTTTAACTCGGTTTCAATAATGATAACGATACAATATATCTCATATTTTGCGTAATTTATTCACCCTAAACATGCTTATATTGCAGTTATGACTATTCGGGATATGGAGCCTCTACCGGCAAGGTAAGCCAATATTACATTCTTTCAAGATGAAAGATACTCCCTCCATCCCACGACAATTGCAACAATTTCTACGATGAGATGGACTTTACCAATTTCAGTTTTCGTTTTTTGACAATTTTTTAGGCTAATAGATACTTGTATCAAGGGTATTTTAGACGTTTCACTATCAACCGAGCATTTCTCTATTGAATTATGTGCATTAATGTAAAAATGAAAAAGAAGAGTATTTTTTCTATTTCTAGCAAGACATCAACCCAAAATTACCTCTTTTCTAATTGTAGTTTAGTTTGATTTTGATCCTCAAGGTTCTCTTATATGGCCGTGATTGAAGGGTATTTTAGATATTTGATCAATGGCCAGACGGTAACACTTCCACCAAACTACTAATCCCTTGTTTTCTTCTTGATCAGCCATCTGAATTTAATACGTACTATGACATAGAGGCCGTCTACAATTGTTTAAAGAACAATTATGGAATCAAGCAGGAAGACATGATCTTGTACGGACAATCCGTTGGCAGTGGGCCCACGTTACACTTGGCTTCTCGACTTCCAAGATTGAGAGGTGTTGTCCTACACAGCGCTATTCTTTCAGGAATACGTGTTCTTTATCCCGTTAAAATGACATTCTGGTTCGACATATTTAAGGTAATTTTCAAGTTGCCCTTCAACTATTTGGCATTTCTAATGACCCTCTTATTGTTTTGTTCTTTTTCTTTGAAGTATATATAAATATATACACATGTATCTATATGCACCAAAACTCACACTTCTCACCTCGTTCCGTTCTTTTTTGGTACAGAATATAGACAAAGTACAAAAAGTCAGCTGTCCGGTACTAGTTATACATGTAAGTAACTTTCACTACTTTTATCTTCAACCAGTTGGCGGCAAATAGCGAACAAAACACTTACGGTTGGTAACAAAGTATAGCAAACCAAACGTACCCAGTATACCTCGTCTGGAGGTAGGGTCTATGGAGGGTATGATATATACAGATCTTTCCTCTACCCCTAGGAGTAGAGAGGTTGTTTTTGTGAATACCACTGACTTGTAAACCTATTCTTTAAACTAAACCAAAAACCTATCTAGTATATCCCATCTGGAGGTAGGGTCGGGGAGGTTAGAGCATCTCCAACATATTCTCTATTTTTAGAGATTTAAACATTCATTATATTATTAAAATATTTCATAAATTCCCAATAGACTTTTTAAAAAGAAATTATATAAAATAATAATGATTCAATATTATTGGTGGGAATGAATAAAAAATTAATTAATTACTCTCTCCATACCTCAGGTTTTAGAGAATTCTCTAAACTTAGAGTTTTTGCTAGTTTTCTCTATTTTAGAGAACCATATAGAGAATCTCTTGAAAAAAGATGGAGAACATAAACATCATTTTCTCTATTTTAGTGAATCTGTTGGAGATGCTCTTATGATGTATGTAGAGTGAGACTGTTTCTGTGACGACTCCTGACTTGTAAGCCTTTTCCTTACACCAAACCAAACGTATCCGGTATATCCCATCCGAGGTGGGGTCTGGGGAGGGTATGATGTTCCTCTACCCCGAGGGGGTAGAGAGGTTGTTTCCATGAAGAACACTCTTTTCTTTAAACCAAACGAATTCAATATATCCCATCCGGAGGTATGGTCCGGGGAGGGTATGATGTATGCCAACAATTCTTCTACCTGTAGGGGGGTAGAGAGGTTGTTTTCGTGAAGACCCTTGACTTTTATCTGAACCAAACTAAACAAATCCTATTTGGAGGTAGGATCTAGGGAGGATGTGATGTATGCATTATCAACGTAGAGCCCAGCTTGTAAAACTTTTCTTTGTACGCTTGGTAACAAAGTGATTTCTGAAATAGTTGGTTAACCCTCAGGATGGGTAGTAGCTCACGGGTAAGACCTTGAGTTTGCTCCCTAGAGGTCACCGGTTCAAGTCCCCTCATTGCTACCGTAGGGTTTGTCTAGTTGTTAACTTCAGGATCCATAGGATTAGACTGATAAAATGTATATATTTAGTCGGTCACGAATCTTTGAATGGTTTTATAGGTTATATTCTCATCTGATGAAGCTTTGCTTGGCTCATTGTTGGTCTTTTGAATCATAGGGTACAAACGACGATATAGTTGATTTTTCGCATGGGAAACGATTATGGGAACTTGCAAAAGACAAATACCATCCGTTGTGGGTCCAAGGTGGAGGTCATTCCAACCTCGAAAGTTACCCAGAGTACATACGACATTTGCGCAAATTTATAAACGCGATGGAAAAACTGTCTTCGAAGCAGAACAACCAACGGCTTTCTTCGGTCCCCAGTATCAGGGAAGTCAAGCACAACAGGTGCTTGAGATTCGGAAGAAGATGATGATCGTGTTCTTCTCTCCATTCGTGTTTATGTTTTCTTATTTATGCTCGCATATCTGATCGTGATTGTAATTAGAATGTTGATGTTTATGCAGATGTTTAGAAATCTTTGTTGTTGTTCAATGAAAAAATCAAATTTTGAAGAGCAAGACTGGAAGAAACTCAAGAATGGGATGTTTTGATTTTGGTTTCTGGTTTCATTTGAGGTTAAATGGTACAATTATTGATGCATTAGGTACAGATTTCAGTTTAAATAAAAAATACAATGATTTTAACCATCAAGATGAACTTTTAAGTATACAACTGGCATTAAAACTAAAATAAATAAAGTTGGAATTTTCCACTTGAAAGTAGGGTTTTGGATTGGGTTCCGGTAAGAATGAAAGTAATGGTGAGAATGGTGAGAAGGGATCTCCACTCTTGGATCAATCCTAATTGAAGAGAATCACTAGATCATCACTAATGAGAAACACCAAATCAATTTTTCTCTAAAGCGCAATTCATGGGTTGATTTGAGATTAAAGGTGATCAAGGGTTTAAATCATTTTTTACACTTTTCTATTCTCACACGATCTTCCATCTTCTCCTTGTATATATGATGAAACCCTTTTTTTTTCTTTTCAAATACTCTTTTGGAAAGTAATCTAAGAGTGGTTTCCACATATTCTCACACTGAGACAATGTGTTCGTCTAGTCTCCATTGGAGGGGGCATGTTGGAGTTTCATGTTTGCTAGACTTTTGGCCTTTTCTCCTTGAAATTGTTGTAGTCGACATTGGTTAGACTTAGACTGTTTCTCCTCAACATCTTACAACGAACCTGCTTTCTCACCTTAAGAGAATAAGAGGTCTTGTGAAGAGTCATTTAATGGTGGCTCCATATATTCCCACATGGTATCATAGTTTAGATGTACCACTCCAATGACTCGACACTTTGGGGGCGACAATATATACACATCTAGCCTCCATTACAGGGGCGTATTGGAGTCCAACATCAGCCAAATTTGTACCATTTCTCCTCAATATATGATGGAACCTTCATTCTCAAATGGGTCTACATATTCTCACAAATATACGTTGAAACATATGTTTTCTCCTCAAATCCACTTTTGGAGATTAATCTCACGAACCCTTCACATATATTTTTAACAAAAATGTATACAAATTTGAGCTCTATCCAAAATAATAATATTAAAAGAGATTTTGATGGAACAGTTGAGTGTTATACAACTGGCATTAGTAAATGGTAAATCAAAATTATTGATAAGGAGACAAGAAAATTGACTTTACTTATAAACTAAAGGAGATTCCCTTGTGCATGACCTGGATTTGTTCTTCAACTTGTTAGTGTTAAAATACTAAACAACTGTGTGGCAACCCCTACCCACACACACACTCACACTCACACAATCATCCAATTCCCACAAACTATGATTTTGTACCATGATTCATCCAACCCCCTTAATTAATCATTAACTATTCGATAAAGATCGAATAGCATCATATCATATTGAACGATGAATGCAATTCATCGTTCATATATATATATATATATGTATATATGTATATAAAGAACGTATTTGTAATTAACGATTTTTTAGAGTAAAGATTATATGGGGTATAATGCACTGGTTTGGTTGGTTTGATGATTAAACTGTCTTATTAGTGTATATATTATGGTCTTTCTATATAACTTATATATCTGAGTTTAATAAAGTGTCTAATCTGTTTGATCTTAATATGTAATTTATAGATTTTTTAATATATTTTATGATTCACATGAAATTGCATACAGAACACAAACACAAACAAAAGTATAACATATCAAGTCCTATGAAATTTTGACAAGAAAAAAGATTAGTAAGGGATTTTGATTAGAAAGATGATTATGATCAACAATCCACTAATTACTAAAAAGTGAGGGTTAGTGCTCAAGCATGATTTAAAAGTTCATGGGATCTTTTAATATATATATATATATATATATATATATATATATATATTATTTACGTTAGATAAGGGCATTAAGTAACTAAACTTTTTTCATAATTTTAAAAAAATCAGTCTGTATCATATCAGATGACTTATAAGGATGTGTCAAGATTCTAATAGCAGAATTGTTGATCCTTTGTATGTGATTTTCAGTAAAAATGGCAACACTGTAGGTTGGATATCATATGTGAGAATCAAATCTGATTTATAAAACACGTGATTGATTCAAATAAGACATGAGGGGTAGTTTAAACCTCATTTGTATATCATATATCATTAAGTTTAGAAGTGTATTTGATCTATATCATTAATCATCTACATAAATGGTTGAGATTCATTTGTATGTTTGCAACAGTTGCACGGTTTGTAATTTAAACTACACAACACACACACACACACACACACACATATAGAGCTCACTCAAGGGAGAATTGATTAGTTTGTGGTAATCGTGAGATCCAATGTGAATCATTCATTTGAGATATTTAAGAATATTTCTTAAATAAGCTAAAAAAGTAATATAGTAATTTTATTTTTGACAACTAATCAAAGTATTTAATTAAAATTAGTTACCTAGTATATCAATTACCTAATATACATCGTATTTTAAAGACGATTGTGAATCAAAGTGTATCATAGTGATAACGTTCATAATGTTTCACGTGTATCACAATGTATTTTCTTTGTTTTATGAAATGTAACATAGTGTGCATTTCCATTATTTTCATTGCTTTAGAAGGGGTATCACATTGTGCATCTTGTATGTATATTACGGTATCACAGTGAATATCGTTTATAGATTTCACATTGTGTATCTTGTGTTCACATAAGGTTCATCGAAATAATGTTCGCCGAACAAGATTCGCCAGAGAGGGGAAAGAGGAGAGATGAGAGGGGATATTTATAAAATCCCTAAAACGATCTTAAATAATATTTTAAGTTAAAATTATTAATTTCCTAATTTAACCTTTGATTTATGGTTGAGATTGGATCTCACAGTTTCTACAAACAAAACAGTTATATATATATATATATATATATATTATTGTAGAACAATAATCAATGAGAATCACAAAAGGCTAAAAATCCGTGATAACCTATATAAAAATATCATTTACATGGTTTTTCGTCAAAACCTATAATATAAAGTATTGTTTCACATTTGTTTTTGTTCACCTTATGAAAGAATTACATAAAAAACTTTTTCTTTGTTCATTTAGTGAAACAAAAAATGTACGTAAAAAAAAGTTTTACATGGTGAAACAAATACATATAAAACTATATCATTATAAAACACTACTTAGATACTAACATTTGATTAAAAAATAATGTAAAATAACACTTTTAAATTGGTTCTCAAGGGTTAGGGGTGTTTGGAATTACTTATTAACTTATTTCAATGTCATACCGGTAATCAAAAGTTTTTAATGTTTAAATGAAAAAAAAAATATTTATATCAATTTGACACTGATAATAAAGAGTTTTTAATAAGTTACTCTCTTATATAACTTCTTTTAACTTATTTGAATATGGTAGTGATAATATGGTATATTCTTATAGTTATATGCCAAAAGTCAAAAGAAATAATTATGCATGGTGTTGTGAAAAGGGCACTTTTGAACAATGCTATTGGAGGCAACATAAAGTAGTGACATTTGCCTCTTACTTCCATCAATTCATATTATTCAATTTACCAACTAATTTTATTTCTATTTGTGTATAGTTTTCTATTTAATTTTATTCATAATTTAATTAGGGGAGTGCTAATGGCACGTCCTTAGTAGGAGGTGTTGAATAATAGGAAATTGTGCTGTCATAAAACATCAAATCAATTTAATTATATTTAATTTTTATTATTTAATATA